GTTTTATATTTCTAACACTTAATTTTTACAAGATGGCCGAGTATATTAAGATTCCCATTCATACTTCTTCGATGTAATGAAGTCGGATCCTGCTCGCGGGAAGTTTAAATAAATACGTCTTGGCCATGGACATGCTTCGTGGGCTCCTCGGCCCCGACATTTGCGCAAGAATCGATAACTCCCCGTCTAAATTATTCCCGCCCCAGTATTTCCTCAACAGCTCATCAGTATTCCTCCTCTATGCCGCCGCTATTGTGAACTCCACAACCCTACGCAGAATCGCGTTCTTGGAACTTCGGGGGAGTTTCATGTTCGGCCAGCCTATGCGAAATCTGGAATTCAATTGAGGGGACTTTAAAGTTCGAACAAATTTCTAAATGGCAGTCAATCTAAATTTAGAAAGTAATAGCGTCTTCGAATCTTCAGAACCGCCGTAAAAGCTTATCGCCCAAGCTAGCCCCGCTTATTAGGGAGCTTAAAATAACGCCGGATTACGTACAGTCAGCCATCTACGAAGCCGGAAAGGGAATCGGAAGCATTAAGAAGCTTAAGCTCACGCTGAAATTGGCGTCCCGAGTAGGACTTACGGTACCTTAAACCGCACTTTTTCTTCTTGCAGAATACCGGAGTCCGCTGTTTTTTTGTTTTGTTTTTTAGTCGTAGGCAGTCTGCTTTTGATAGCGTAAAATTACTTTCTGGAGACAATGAATCATTTTCTTTCTAAGCTGGGAGAAATGTAAAGAATAACGGTTTTCGCTAGTGAGGTCACGATATCAAGGAAGCAATGCGATCACCGCGTGAGCCCTGCCTGAACGGTGGAGTTTTGGAGGGAGTGAAGTTAACTAGAAGGAAGTTATTGTCATCTACAGTCACAAGAGCATAGGCAACGGCGGACGCAGCGTATTCGCCTTCGGAGTTTTTTTTTTTTTGGCTAAGCAGTAATATCTCATTGGCTATGTAGCAATATTAAGATTCTCCCGGCTCATCACGCCCTGTGGTTTTAAAGATGTTAGTGATTATATCTGTAAGTGATAGGTCTTTGACGCTATAGGTGACATGGACCTACAACGGGCTGTGAAATGCCGCATTCTAAAAGAAGTGTATACAATGAACACATCAAAACTTGTATAAATTATATACGTTACATATACGTTATTAATTCTTTTTTATGGTATCCCGCGTCGAAATCCATACGAACGTATCGTAAATGTGAACAAAGGTAAAGAACATAGAAATGCACAGTAATACGTAAAAGACGCATCGTTGATTGTAAATTGTAAGCTTGTACTAGTGGAGCTCCCATCTGTTCTTGGGTTGATCAAACATGGCAATTCATTGCCCACCGAAATTTTAAACCACTGCGAACGCGGAGAGGAGGAAACTATATAACAAGAAAAATCATGATATAATGTGAAGCTTTTTTTCTTCTTTTCTTTCTATCTCGATTGATACGCTTTACTATAGTCCGTTGCAACTCAAGAAGGTAGGGCGAGGGAAAGGAGGGCAGGGGAGGAGAAAGCAGACGAAACGCTGGAAAGAGGAGGAGGGTTACCTTTATACTCTACAGCGTACTGTTTCCTTCTTTCTCTCCAGTCTACCTTCCCTTCGCCCTACATTCTTGAGCAGTAACTTATTAAAAAACAAATGTCAGCTACCTTACATAACAAAAAAATGAAAGCTAAGTTTAGGTGATGGGATAAGTGAATAAATTTCAGTTCAACTTGCATTGTTAACAAAAGCTGAATGGGGATTGTACTGTTAAAACTTAAAGGAGTCATGAAACACTTTTCCAACTTTTTCCTGTTTAGCTTTCCTCCTCAACTCATAAATCGCAAATTATCCCAAACAGCTTAAGAAGACGGAAAGGGGGGAGTCCCCTTTTGCTCGGACTCTCGTTTGTGTACCCGGACACAGCCCATTCAGCTATTCTCCACCTAGAAAATGAGCCCGTCGCTCAAAATTCAGACAAAAGTTGCTTTCCCCGCCCCGTTCACCCCGAACCTGACAATACCGTGGAAGGTACGTGCTCTTTGGGCCAGCCACATTTTAGTCACGTGATCACGCTCTCTCGCGCATACCCACGCGCAGAGAATGAGGTCAGGTGATGAAGGGGATGCGGCTGATTGGTCCTGCCAAGCGCGTAACTTCCACCACAATGTTAGCTTAGGGGTGAAGGGAATAAGTGAGGTCCGGCGTCGTGTGACGTGCGTTTGGGCCCGGTGACGCGCTCCGGGGACCGCGGATGTATCACAGTGAAAAGGCGTAGAGTTAACGAAGGGAAGGAGGTACGAAATAGTCCGCTTTTCTCGAATTTTTGTACTGAAAGTCAGGCTTTTGACTTTCTACCTTTTTTTCTTTTGACCCACTGAAATATGTGCGATTAGTAAAATCCCAGTATATATTGATTCATTCCAGTCAAAAATTCGTTTCATGGTCCCTTTAAACCCGCTGCTAGGGGCACAATCGACTGTCGCCTCCGAAAGAAATTTTGTTCAGCGCGTTGTTTTAACTATACATACTTGCAGCCGGTTGCCCATGCTACTATTCAGCTTCCTTGATGCGTTAAGGTTTCAAACTTGCGAGGTGCGCTTAATGGTTTCAATTTCTCAAAACTTTCACCAAGCGCCGCGCTATCTCTGATAGAACGGCACTCTTGTGTGTAATCCCACAAACTATTGCGTTAAGTATTTGAAACATCGCAGAACCAAAATCCTACTCGCTCTTCTTATCGAAACTAATAAATGAAGTGTTCATAAACAAAATGAGAAAACTTGAAGAACGGTCGGCAGAGTGTCCTGCCATAGAACAAAGCAATCAGAAAAAAACAAAAACAGAGACAGCTAGCTATGTGTACCGTAACACGAAGCTATAGGAAATGAACTAATATCTTCAATAGGTCCGCGTACCTCTATTGACACACACAAGAAAAGGCGCTAGACACAGCACACTACATTTCGGCAGCTGTCATCGACAATGTCCTCCAATGACAAGCGGATTGACAGATGGACTCCCGTTGGCACACAGAGAACCCACGCAGCCGCATTCACATATCTGAGAAGCAGAGTGGTGACAGAACTGTCCAGTGACAGTGAACCAGTGTGTTAGTTTACGACCCATCACTCGTGGCCTTGATAAAGCGTGCACACTATGTTTGCTTTAAGGCTGATATTCCTCGATGAAGTCACGATATTTGGAATGCGCGAAGGAATTCGAAAGAAAGATTGCATTATTACCGGAGAAAGTTCTTGACTTAGGGGACGGTGACATGATTTGGAAACTCTAGAATCTAGACTGGATTTTTTTTTTTCAACGAGGAGAACGGCGGGGTTTTCATACCGAGAAGTGGGAGCATTGCGATGTTTCTTCCGCAGACGTGTGAGTGTTGCTTTAAAAAGATGGTTGCTTAGGGTTACCATGCAGTTACTCATCCTAAAGTTGACTAAGTTACCGTACTACTTGCCTTAATTAAAAGAAAGGAAATGAAAATTTTACTCGCTATGCTAGTTGTAATTTAACATTACGTTTCCGATTATATTTCTAGACCTTTAGTTTTAGAGTTCTAGGCTGTCCTCCAATATGTGCCAAGTAAAATTCAAAGCAGTTTTTCTGCAGGAAAACTTGCAGTGCCAAAAACATTATACAAGGGGAGTGGGTATGAAACAATAAATTATAAATAACACGCTTCATGAGCACAAAACCTCAAAGCACAAAAAATAAGCGCACGGAAATCAGATTGGACACAACAATACACAACGTTTATACAATTATTAAAAAAAAAAAACAATACCACACATCATTTACATGCAGCAACAGCCGAGGGAGTAAATTAACAACGGATTGAATATTTAGAACATAAATACAATATCAGCTGATATGACATTCAGCAAGCCGATCATTCCATTAAGGTTTGGTTATGTGAAAGAACGAAAACAGATCAAAATGCACCCTATATTTTAATGTACTTAATTGAGTACATTAAAATATAGGGCGCATTCCGACCTTTTTTCGTTCTTTCACATCGAAAGCTTATTGGGAGAAATGTATGATCTCAAGTTTATTTTTTACTAATTGAATTAGGACAGATAATGAGCGGCAGAAATTCAACGATGCAGCCCGTGAACGTCACCGAATGTATTCGACCGCGTTCACGGGCTACATCGATGAATTTCTGCCGTTCATTATGTGTCCTAATTCAATTAGTGAAAATAAACTTGAGATCATATATTTGTCCCAATTAGCTTGAATTAAGACCGCAACGTTTTCTTTGGTCACTTCAATGCAATGGGGAGCCGAGTCAATTCATGTATTTTTCAGACGTGAATGCAACAAAAGGCACTGTAGTTTATTTAAATGATCACTCCGGCGCTTCTATTACAATGTCTACAACTGATTTATTACGACATCATCAAGGGAGCTGCTCAATATTTTTACACATATTAAGAAGCGCATATTAGGCTTAGATGAAGCCTATTTCTACTGTGAGTTGTTAGAAAGTACGTAGTTGACCCACCAACTTCAACTATGCTACAGATTGCACTCGCATGTACACTTACTTTTATTTTATTTTTGTAGCCTGCTGTACGAGACACGTGACGAAGCATTTGTTCAGGATATGAGACCTCAGGTTTTGTACCAATTTTATCATTATCCAACTGAGTTTACTACGTCTCGAAATAGTAAGGACCAGTAACCACTGCCGGATTGCACTCAGTTGAACCATCTCGGTCACCCTTAGACTTCTATATGAGCACTTCATATGGTCTCACAATAACATAGAGAGCAGTTAGTTTGTAAATTTTGTGCTGGTATAAAACAACACACGATTCCTTGCACAATACCGTTGATGTACAATGTTCAGTACACTTCCCTTTTTCGACGGGATGGTGAACTCTCCAATATACACGCGTAATACAATTTGTTTGCTCTCTAATACATGTTGTCGGAGCATGCCTCGAGTTTAACAACAACAGAACAAGGAAGTTTATAAAGTGTTGACCTACTCAGCATGTTGATGACTGCCTTCCTGGAAGACGAAGTCCCGCTGCCGCTCTTAGTGGACTTGCGCAGCTGACACCCCCTCTGGAACTTGTGCACGGGCTGTACCATCTCCTTCTCAGCCGCTGTGGCACTTTTTCCGTTGTGCACGACGGGACACCGATGATCGACGTCCTGTCGCGAGAGGGCGTTGGACCTCTTCAGCTGAAGCGCGATGCACACGTAGAGCACCAGAATGACGCTCATGGGCAGCAGGAAGAAAGCGAAGGTGGACAGTTCGAAGGCGTGCTCCAGAGGTTCCTTGACCGTACACTCGGCCGACTCCGGCAGCACCGTCGTACCGTCAACACTTTGGTGCACGATGCCGAACTGCACCGCCAACGGAATGGCGCACAGCGCGCTCAGCACCCAGATGACCACCACAAACTTGACGGCTCTGGACAGCTTGGACATAGTGTGCGCCCTGAGAGGGTGGCAGATGGCCACGTAGCGCTCGATGGTGAACGCGGTGATGGTGAGGATGGACGCGTTTGTGGACGTCTCCGAGGTCAGGCCACGGAGAATGCAGAAGGCCTCGCCGAAGACGTACGGATGACGCTCCCAGAGCTGGTACAACTCCTGGGGCAGACCGAGCACCAGCAGCAGGAGATCGGACACGGCGAGGCTGAAGAGGTAGTAGTTGGTCGCGGTGTGCATGTACCGGTTGCGCGCGATGACGATGCAGGTGCAGACGTTGCCGATGACCCCCGATACCAGGAGGATGGAGTAGATGAAGGTCATGGGAATGACGGTGGTAAGGGGGTCTCGCTTGGGTCCGAGGTTGAGGAGCAGGGTTTCGGCGGCGGAGGCGTTCACAGGGGGATCGATCATCAGCCCTTCGGTCGCCATCCGTATATCCAGATAGCTGGATGGGGCAGAGGGGCTCATGCCCCGGATTCGTGCTCACGGGCTCGCAAGGGCGTTGAAGCTGGTCCTGGGTGTATCATGCTCCCTGAAGAAAAATAAAAACAAAAAAACAGGTTGGAATTAAGGTCAAGGCGTATCTCACACTCACGCGAAAGTGCGTAACACTACATTCAGCGTGTAAAAAGAATTATATACATGCCAGTATTGTTCACTTCACATATAGGCTCTTATGAATAAGGTATCGACTAAAGCACCGTACAACTATGCGCAGTGTCTCTCACTTCAGACACGTGTGATAAAGCTTTGTAGTTTTGTAATCATCGTTTTTTTTTGTCACAAATTTCACTATGGTAAAAATCAACTTAAAGGGAAGCTGAAACACTTCTAGAAAAAAACGAGTTAGAGGTGATTGCTGGCGTATTTTTATCCCCTTATTCTGAATATTACATTCGCTTTCCCCGAAGATGCAACTAAAAGCGAGAAAACGCAAAAACCCTCCAACCATTCGTGACGTCATACTAGGATCTTTGGGCCGCCAAGCGCGTGTCGCTCGTGTGGGCAGCGCGTGCAATTGCAAGCTTGCCAGGGATATTGTTTTTGCACTGACGGCAGTCGTGACGTCTCTTTCTAACCTTTTTGAAAATAACAAGAGTGGGCGTGCATAGCTTTGACAGGCGCTGAAGACGCGCGAGAGCAGAGATTCCGAAAACTCCTAGTGTGACGTCACGCCCCGGGAAGGGGGGGCTTCGGCGGTACTTTAAAAATTAATTTCTGAAGCCTCCGTGCACCAAATTGAAAAATAATTTCGCTATTCCTGATCGTGGAGGTTGAATGAAGGCCATTAAAGTCTTTTTTCTCAAATACGAAACCGCTTCAGTTTCCCTTTAAAGAACATGGGGTGTGACGAATGCCGAGCATCGTATTAGCGCTTCTAAGCAAATCATTTTGCGGCCTTCGTCAATAAGAACGCCGATAAGCTAATTATGAAGCAAGAAGCGTGAACATAATAAACTATGCCCTGCCTTTCTTAAGTTATGCGTGATTATAGGATATTTGTGAACCAAAATAAATTGTGCCCTACATATGTATTTCCATACATTAACACCCGTCTTAGTCATTCTCCTTCACGTATTCACCTAATATACTTTAAAACTTTTCCCGGAACATGGATAATTTCTTAACGCTGCGACATCGACGTAATGCATTAACTATGCAGCAAACTTGTACTATCGCGGACAATCTGAGTTGAAACAGCGCTCCGGCCTGTGCACGGTACTACCTGCGCCGCCTGTCGCATCGCTCCCTAAACACGGCGCACCCTGAGGCCGAGATAAATTCTCACTTGCGCTCACTGCGCCGCTGCGCTCTTCCGACCGTCTGCTAGCGAAAATATTGGCCGACGGAACCATCATCACCATTCCTGTGCCGTGTAGCCTAATGGTCACGTTTTCAGCTAATATGCATTTCAGTGCATTTCAAGAAAGCGCCAAGGTGGAAAATGCGTTGTCACGCTCGTATCTCCTCGAGGAGAGCTGCCTGACGAAGCTGCCTTGGCCCCCAAAAGGAGCCGATCTTAATATCATCGAAATCATTTGGACGCGTATTAAGGTAGCTATGTCACGGCGTCCCCCTCCACCACGCCACTGCTTACAAATTGTGGAAAGCAATGAGGTGAATGGGAGTGGCTTCGGGGCTGAGCCAGACCTCGTGGACGCGCTTTATGATTTCTTGCCAGACAGGATGGAAGCCATGGTTGCGGGTCAGGGGAGAATGACGCGGTATTAAATTATTTTGTAAGTTTTACTGCACCTCAGGACCCACTGAAGCGGACTTCTGCCGGTTGGAACAAAGCTTGATGCTACGGTTGCGACACACTGTTTGACGCCGTTAACCAAGCATACTTTTGTGTAATGTTTCCTCGATCCCGAACTTCCTGTGTAGTGCAGTTGAAATTCCACGCCGACTGTTAATCTTTTTTGTCTGACATTGTCCTCTGCAAATATTCTTTCGATTAAGTTTCAATCTCCTTCTCCTGGCAGATACATGACTGTTTGTTCCACTTTATTAATACTAGGAGTTTGTAAAAAAAAAACAAAAAAAAACTGGTGTTTTGTCAGCAACTTGTTTTGTTTGAAACAAACACGTGGGCCCAGTAATAAAGAAACAATACTTTCTGACCCTTTTCATACCAATCAAGCTTACAAAACCTTCTCAATAACATGTATACGCTTACCGTTTTTTTTTTTTAAATTTTAAACATCTGTGATCAATGAAAAATAAAAAAAAAGTAAATACCTTGGAGCCGGATTAAATCCGGCATACAGATTTTGGCCTATATTTTGCGATGTCCTACTTTGTGCATGCACCTATAATCAAAGAAAAAGAACCAGCAACGTCTTTTGATGTGAGTTTCAAAAACGATAATCGCAGCTGAAATTTAAGACATTTCAATATTTTTTATTCAACAGTCAGCGCTTTTTTGACTGGATTCTGCGCGATAAAGTAAATCAATTCCAAACGAGAGACGACAAGTGTAATATTTTGTTCCACACACATGCCCCCTGTCGCACCCGCCGTCTCGCTTGCAGACGGCCGGAGGAGCGCAGTGGCGCAACGAGCGGAAGTGAGAATTTATCTCGTACTCAGGGTGCGCCATGTGTGCGGAGCAAGGCCACTGGCGGTGCAGGGAGTACCGTGCGGCGGCCGAAGCGCTGTTTCAGCTCATATTGTCCGCGATAGTACCAATTCTCCAAATACTGTATTCAAAGCCGGCAGTTTTTTTTTTTTAAATCAATTAAAAAGGGATAGTTAGAGCTTTAGTGTTTGCTGACTAATACTATTAAAGTATTTCTGCGAATTCTACTTTCTGTGCCCCGATATTTCAAAATAACGAACGACTCATAAAAGCTAAGGATGACTCGACTAATGAGAAGAGACGACGTTGCAAAAAAACTTATTTGGCTCGAGGTCAATGTACTTGGAAGGACGACATGATTGCAAAGACGCGAACTAACAGAACCATCTGAAAGCCAGGGAAAAAACAAAAATGAACTGTATTTTTTTGCTACGTTCGAATTACCGCTTAGAAGTGACATGCAACGAGAAAACACACACACGCACACACACATACACACGCACACACACACAAGCAGCAGTGCTTTTGTACATCGATTCCTAAACGGGAAGCAACAAAAAATATAAACCGCATAGTCATCGACTCGCACAGACCCTAAACACCACCCAGGGGAGTCATCGAAAGGAAGATACACGTTTTGGATTAGAACGAAACCGGGTAGCATTAGCTTCCCTAGGGATACCGATTGCCACAACGCAATGGAAGATCCAGGTATTGTCACAGGGAGGTGTTATTGGTTACAGTGGAATATTTTCAAATTCGAGGGGGGCCGCCTTCTTCACAAATAAGTTTGATGTTTTAGTTGACGGTTTATGTGAGATATAAATGTAGAAGACTGAACCGGGGACGTTGTCTCTATAATAAAGCATGCTCAAAATCAAAACAGATTATTTTTTGTTTGTGACTGCACCTATTGTGAGGTATGTCTAGCGAAAAGTATATGTTGATAAATAAATATTTGATATGTTGTTTATTAAACTGCTAATTTAAGTGAGAAGTCGAGATATAAATTGTGTTGTCAGACTGCATTTTTTTTCCGGGATGTTACTTTTTAAACCTAGGTCTCGGGGGTGTATTGTTGGCTTTCTAAAATGTGATTGAAGACTGAACAGGCTACATATTATCCCCTAGAAATCTCGCGCACTTTCGGTTTAAAATTATACGAACCCTGGGGTGCAAATTAGCCGCTGCCTCCAGATATCGGCGGAATGAAAACGGCCGTTCTCAAATGACCAGGAAATAAATTGGCCAAGTCCCGCGCATGAAACATTTGAAGCCCTCCTTTTCCGCGCAAAATAGCGATTCAATAAGCGTGTATACATTGCCGGATATTACGTAATTTACGCAATTTGTTCCTCTTTTGTATTTCACTGTACTTTGCTTCCATTTTAGCGCACATTATGTCCACATGAATACATTTCGCGTGGTGCCCGTTGTCGATGAGCGGCCAAAAACGTGCTACCGAAACGGAACGCGTGACTCCAAATGACACGCACCACGGTAACCGAGCGTTCATAATGACCGCATCTCCAGAACACAAGGGGAGACGGGGCAGAAAAAAAAAAATCGTGTTTCTGTCAAACGCGAAACAGCTTTATGGGCTCGTACGACGGCATGCGGCGGTAATGCACACTCACTCCACTAACGACGTTGGGACCCACCTGCCCGCGTGGCGCGAACCAACGGGCCTTAATTACACCCTCCAGAGCAACATGTCCCGCGATCGTCCCTGGTGACGGCTTCAACTTTCTGCGAGCCCTCTCCGTTATCTGATTTTCTTTGGCACGCTGAGTGAGAGTTAGAACCCATTGAAAGTCATTAAAGCGCGGAAGAACTAAGCGAATTTATCCGTGCTTTAGGGAAAGGGCGAAAAGTGGGAAGAAGCTCGTTTGGCCGTAGAGTTCGTTTACCTCGCGTCGCGAGATTCAATGGGGGATGGCTTTGTTTTCCGGGCGAACCGACGAACGAGGGTTTTGAGTAAACAAGCTGCTCGAGGAAGCGCGCTGTAAATGAGTCCGCTCGTGGGCGTCCTCGTTGAAATATTAAAGGGGGCTGTACGCGAGCCAGCGATAAGCTTAGCGCAAAGCGACGCGGGAGATATGCCTGTACAACATTTAAAAAAAAAAAAAAGTTAATTTTGGCTGTGGTTGAGTGTTATTCTGGTCGGTGTTGTCACGTCCGTAGGCATTGACTTATCAATTTAATTTAAACTTTTTTTTTTTCATTCTGAGTGTGTTTGAAGGTAGGTTCCGAGGCTTGACTGTGTATGCGTATGTGTGCGTGTGAGATTTTGTTGCTGTTTCGTTTCTGCCGGTTTGTATGTATGCTCATTCGGAAGTTCACAAGCGGGACTTTGTTAATTTTGCGTATCATTTGAAAGATGATGGTAAACCGACAATATATAAAACCGCGTTTATTATCTTCAACCTTGTATGCCTGTATTCGTTTCG